AGGGTGGGGGGGTGGGGTATAGCCTCTAAGAGAGACCCCCAATACCTTCCTCTTTCTCTTTTTTCCCCCCAGTCCTGAGGTGACCAGTTTCACTTTGCCACACTTAATCACTTTGTAGTCTTGATAAGCTGCCTCCCCACCAGTGCAAAGCTGTGGGGCAATTGATCATGAACTGAAACCCCTAAAACTGTGAGCTAGAATAAATATTTTCTCTTATGAGTTTATATATATCAGGGAATTTTTCTGTAGTGAAAGGAAGCTGATTAACACAGTGGGGTTTTGGAAGCTCATGCCAAGATGAATCTGGAGTGAGCTATTAACTAGGGATCAACACCTGGGAAAGCTTGGGGGACATGCAAAGTTGGGCCAAGGGAGAACCCCACATGGTGTTAGACAGTCATATAGGGAGTTCTGGAAGCTCAGACAGTATTGCCTCGGGAGTGGTCCAGCGCTGGGCAAACAGGGGGACAATTGTGGAAATCAGATTCCCTCTTCCCCAGGGTTGTTTGCTATTGCTATTTGCTTTTGCTGATGCTCCTGTCTTTTGGTTTAGTGACTTTCTTGAAATAATTCTATGAAATCAGTATATGTCCTGGGTGACCACTGAGATCTCTGATTCTTTAGCTTAGTAGATACCTAATGACTACACAAACATATTCTTAAATTCCTTGGAGTAGGTCTCCCAGTCCTTGCCAGGGAGCTCCCTGTACATGTTGGGCTTGCCTTCAGGGCCACAGCTGTGAAAACTCTCCTTTAGCCTTCACTTCCTGCTTGTGCAAAGCCTCAGGTCAGCCACAAGTGAGAAATGGTCATTTTCTCAGATCTTCCAGCATGTATACAGCCCTGCACATGGGCCTGGCCTTCTAGATTCCCAAGAATACACTAGAGTTTTTCAAAGCCACTATGGAAATAGCACTTCCCAACTTTTCTTTTTAATTTTTTGGTTAGCCTCTCGTGTATCCCAGCTGTTATCCCAGTCTTGAGCTGCTTTAGTGTTTAACAATTGTCAGATTGTTTTTGACAAATACCCTGGTAAAAGCTCTTTACAGTGAACAAGCTCTGAGTGGAGTACAATAAAGATGAATGCTGCAAGTGGGATTTCCAGGGAGCTTCCAGACAGGGTCAAATAATAATTCTCCTGGAATGGAGATGTTTGTATTGCTCCAAACCTATTCTTCTCCTCCAGTTGTTAGTAGGCTGCTGGTTTTCACAACCACCATAGCTGCTTGGCTATTGTTTTCAGGGCTTCCATAGACTTGAGGAAGAAAAAAAAAAAAAAAGAACAGGAATAGGAGAAGTGAAAACTACTATGAAACTCACATTTCTATCAAAATTCAGATGCTCTTTGCAATTAGTCACTTCAAATTTTTCAAGCCTTTGACTAATTTCTAGAGTTCTGCAAAAAAGCATATTTTGATATATATATATTTTTTTTTACCCAGTATTCTCATTGCTTTTATGAAGGAGAAGATTTTTGGAAATCCTCACTCTACCTCTCCAGAAGTATTGCCTCTTATCATATGAGTTTTAGGAGTTGTTTGTATACTCTGTATGCAAGTCCTTTATTAGGCACATGATTTATAAATATATTCTCATAGCCTGTGACTTTTCATTGAATGGACATTGTCAAAACATTTAATAGATGTTTCTTCCACAATTAACAAGTTGCTAATGTAAAGTAATTCATTGTATTTATCTTTTATCCAGCAACAAAAACATATGCTCTTATTCTTACTGATTCCTGCATTTATATACAGCATTTTATATCTTATGGCTTTAGCTCCCAAAAACTTTGAATACTACCAATGAAAGCCAGCACCCATATGTTGTACTTAATTTTTATATCCTTTTATTTATATTATATTCATTTTGTTGTAAATTTTATTCAAATGTAGTGTCCACGTAAAAGTACAGAGATAATAAATTTACTATTCAATGGTTTTTCACAAAATGAACTTATGCAACCAAGATCAAGTTCAAGAAACAATGGTGCCAGCACCTCAGAAGCCTCTCAACTAACTTGCAGTGATAAATACCTTCCCAAGGGTAGCCAACATGATGATTTATAGCACTATACACTAATTTTGACTGTTTTGAAATATATATGAAAATTATCATATAATAGAACACATTTTGCTTGGCTTTTGTCAGGTAACATGATGTTTCTAAACCCATCCATGTTGTTGAACATTCACAGTTTATTCATTCCTATTGCTGCATAATTTTCCATTTCACAAGCATGGCACAATTAATTAATCTAACCAGCCATATAGGAGCATTTGGTCTACTTTCAGTTTTTCAATTTTGTTTTTTGGGGTACTTGGGATTGTACTCAGGGGCACTCGGCCACTAAGCCACATCCCCAGCCCTATTTTGTATTTTATTGATAGGAAGGATCTTTTTTCTTTTCTTTTTTTAGTTTTAAATGGACACAATATCTTTGTTTTATTTTTATATGGTGCTGAGGATCCAAGCCAGTGCCTCACGTATGCCAGGTGAGGGCGCTACCACCACTTGAGCCATGTTCCAAGCCCCAGGAAGGATCTGAGTTGCTTAGTGCCTCACTTTTGCTGAGGCTGGCTTTGAACTCTAGATCCTCCTGTCTCTGCCTCCGGAGCCACTGGGATGGATCACAGGCATGCACTAACAAGCCCAGCCAGTTTTTGACTATTTAAAATAATACTATCAAAAACATTTTTGTGTTTGTCTTTTGGTGAATTTATGTATACATTTCTCTTTTATTTAGCCAGAAATGAAATTGCTGAGTCATAGGATGTACATAGTACATATTGCCCAATACTTTTAGAGGTGGTTACAACAATTTAAACTTTCATCAAAAGTGTAAAAGTTACTCCTCATATTGAGAAAAAATTGATTTTATCTTTTCCATTTTTGACACTTTGGAGAATATTTAATGGTATCACATTGTTTTTTAAATCAACTTTGTAAATTTTAACTTCTCTTTAGTGTTTTATTATCATATCCACTACATCTGTACTTATGCAGCCTCTCAGCTTTCTAAACTAATATTTTAGTTTGGCTCCTTTTTTTGTTCCTCATATTTATTTTAGGCACCTTTTCCAAGAATCAGATTTTTCTTCTCTTGATCATATCTATATTTTTATTTTCTAGTTCATTCATTTTGGCTCATATTTCATAAATTCCTTTCTTCTAATTGAGGGGATTTATTTGGCTATTCTTTTGCAGACTTCTTGAGTTAAAACATACCTTATTCCAATTCAGCCATGCTCAATTTTTAATAAATGTGATGGCTTCATGTACCTCCTCCTGAGAACTGCCTAGACCATCCCACAATGTCAGCAAGTGGTACTCTCATTCATTTCTGACCACTTGACTTTTTCATTCTGACTTTTCTCTAAAAAC